AGACAAGAAGTCTCGCCATCAGTGGCTTCGGATGACGACGACGGCAGCACCTCTTGTGCACACGGTGCAGGGTCTAGGTGCAGCACTGCATGGGAGACAACCAACAAAGGCTGGGAGCGGGATCTAGGCCCATACGCCGCCGATGGCCAGCCCTTGGATGGTCTCTTCCTCAGTTACAGAGAACTTGAGTCCCCTTAATTATGAAGGAGGTTTTAAGTTGCTCAGACGCTGGGTAAAAATAGGTAGCCTGGTTGCAATTACAGGTGTGGAGCAGGCTAAAAATATCTCTCCCCATCCTCACCCCCCAACTTGAGCGGGCTATGGGAAACTTTTTGGCTAGAAATGAATTTTCAAAGCAGATGGCATTCAGAGTCCAGACGCATTGCTTTCCCGAAGAGCAATGGTCACTATCCAGCTGGCTCACTCGTACGTATACTTGAGGACTTTTTATCAGTGTAACAAGTCAGCAGGAATGGCAGAGGGCAGCCAGGAATCAGCCCCTCATTCAGACAAGCACTCTCTACAGGGGGCCATTCATCTGGCCCAAATACCAGGCACTGACCTGGTAAGGTTGAAAAAAAAAAAAAAAAAAAAGAGCCCTTGGGTGGGGGAAGAGAGAGTGATCCAGCACATTGCAATGGGAGCGCATGCCCCATGCCGTGTGGTTCACCTTTCCCTGTAACCTTTCTTCTCCACAGAAGATCGGGGTCAGACAAATGACACCTGACTGCCAGATGGCCTGCTGGATGCAAGGATGGCTGGCACCTCCTTGGCATGCCTTCCCTTAGCACTGCAGCGCCACTGCAGCTCATCCTGACCCTAACACTGCCGCCCGCCGGCATGTCATCCACAAAGCTTCCCCACCTTGCTCCTGTCTCCTCGGCACAGCCAACTACCCAATGAGCCACACGGGCTGCCCACCGAGTCGTTTCTGAAGCCCTCGGTGTAGAATAGACAGACGGCTCACAATTCAGACCCTAGTCCTGCAGGAGGAGCCTGCCAAGACCCGAAGCTCCATTCACATCCATCGGGTTAGAACAGGCGCCTCACAGGGCTGGGAATCTAGCACAACTAGACCTCCCCACAGGACCCTGAAGGATAGTCCCTCCACCCCCAACCCCTCTCTCACCACCCGACACCCCAGCAACCTTTTGTCTGGGCAGCAAAGTCCCCCCACACAAGCACCTCCCCGCCAGCAGCCCACCCATCCAGGTCTACTAGGAGTCCAGAGGTCCAGCTGTCTGACCTTGCCAGCTGATGGAGATGGGAATCGTATGCTGGTGGGATCGCAGGCAGAAGTGACCCATCAAGTTTAAACACATCTCCCTCTGCAGTGAGGGACTCGAGGTAGGAGGGGTAGGGGGGCAGCCTGAGGGCCAGAGAAGCCCACGGCTCTTCCGGCTGTGTAGTTGCCCAGCCTGACCCCAAACTGCTTACTCAGAGACACAGGCTGGCTGGAGAGGACCTTCCTGGTGACAGGCACCGCTGGAATTTAAAATCCCCTTTGCGTTCTGGGGAACACACACACATACGCACGCACACACACATACACGGAGTGCCTGCTCAGTAGCCACTCCAGAGCTCCTCTGCCTGAGTCCAGCTCATTCGCCACAGCCAGGTGCCCGGAAGTGATCCTGGCTTGTTCGCTTGCCCTGACGCACCTGGCCATGGCAGCTCTGGTGACCAAGGGGCCTGGAGAAAGGCAAGGGATGCAGGGCTCTCTCTACCGTTGCTTGCTGCTCCAGTGAAGGCTCCAGCCTGCCTTCCCTGCTAAAAATGGCTGGTCGCTTGCTGGGCCAAATTCCAATGGTTGGAGTGCCAGGGCCAGCCACCTGCCCAGAGAGGAGCGTGCCCCCTCTGTGACATCAGTCCCAGCCAGTGCCGGCGCCCTGCTGAGAGCTGCTCCCAAGTGGGGTGCAGGACGTGCCTCGTGACTGACCCACTTCTGGCTCAGCCCTTTGTCCCCGGGCTTGTGAGGGCAGAGCGGCTTGTCCACCACCCAGGACCCAGAAAGTGCTCGGGCAGAGCGCTGAGCCCTCCGCCACCGGGCAGGCTGCTCAAGACTGGGCGGCAGCACGTTTACAAAGGGGACGGCAAAGCCCGAGACCCCGACGCCCCACGCCCCTTCAGCGCGATCCCCAGGCTTCGCTCGCTCGCTCGCCCAGACTCACCCCAGGAAGGGGCTCGCGGGGGTGGAGGTGGGTCTGGCCCCGAGGCTGCGGGGTCTCTGTCCTCTGCCGCCT